TAAGGGGCTGGCCCCTAGGCTTGTTCAACGTAGAGGTGCCGTCGATTGACTATTCTAAGCTGAAGAAGGAAGAAAGGACTTTACAAGGGTAGGCACCTAACAGCGGTGAAGCAGGCCGGGTTAGGCGGCGTACTGCGGCAGAATAGTGGGTCCAACGGAGCCGGATCTCGGTAACTGCTCCGGCGAAGCCGGAGATATCAATCCGGGTTCTAGCCCGTGACATAGAGTACACTGAACGCTGCGGAAAAAACCCCTTCGACGTGGCCAGACACATGGCGGGGCATCTGGGCCTCCGGCACGCAAACATCGGGGTCCTTCGGATCCAAGTTGTCATCACAGGCGCCCAGAGCAATGGCTAAGTCGGCATTCCTGTAGGTGATGACGTCCGCTGGGAGGTCGAGTCCGGGATGCCTGAGGTATCGTTGGATGCAAACAAGCTGGCCGCTGGTGATCATGTTCACACTGGCTGGGAATCTCGGGGTTGACGGCCCTGTCTCAGAAGACTGCAAATATCATCAGCAAGTAGAACGACAAGATATTCGGAGTAAAAGGTCAGCAGGTTCATACCGCGGTGCCCGTTCGGAAACTTTGCGAAGAGTTCTGGCCGATGATAGAAGACGACGTGTTGGGGCTAGATCCCCCATTTTCGCCTTCGGCGCGGGATGATGCCATCTGCTCTGGGTTAGATTGCTTCCAAGAGCTCAAGTCAGGCAATGGAGCTATATCTTACCAGCAAACCTCGTGGAACAGACAAAGACTCGCTTGCAGGTGCCACCGAGCAATAAAGGCACAAAATCTGGTGATAACAAATGCTTTGAAGCCAATTTGTGTCGTATGAAAGATGCCTTTGGTAACAATTGCAAAAGAAAACAAAAAGAACCCAAAAAGGCCGAAGTTGATGTCTCTGTGTTGGTTGCTGCTTGGATGTGGTTACTTGTGAACAGAGAAAAGGAAGTGCGACAAATACAGTGCCCAGGGCCGAGTGTGGTTCCAGTGCCGTCGGCGAGATCGTGGTGCCCCACACAGGAGGATGCCACTGGCCATCCACTTGCCTCGTCTTTGACCTCAGCTCTCACCGGGAAAACAAACTATGTAGGGCAGCTACCTGACTTCATTGACACCTGCCTTGGATGCTGGCAAACCACCAGGCAGCATGGTCTTCTCCCCACCGCACAACACATTCATAGATCCAAAGCGACTCCATGACAATTTGGTCTGTGGCCCATCGTTACATCAATCAACCTTCAACGATACTCCCAGCAGCATTTCACATCGCAAGATTGTCAGGTGACCATTCATGCCCCATCCCGCCGATTCGTCGGGTTGCGAGGATGGACCTCTCGTAGTGTATGTGTAGCACATCGACATGATTTTGACGGATCGCAGCATGACATGGCTTGTCCTCCGACAGAGTCCACTTATGTGCTCTCCCCGATGTCTGTCGTCGCACGGAAGCATTCATCAACCACCATCTATGGGTGGACGATGCGCCATGGTTCAAGAAAACCCCGCTTCGACTTCGAAGCATGATGCACAGCTCAAGCTCCAGACAGAGGCGATCAACCAAAAAGAAGACATTCCCACCGAGCTCCGAGATGGTCAAGGTCAGGCCTTACTGGACCATGATGAGGATACCCGACAGTGCGCTGAGCTCGGGTTGAACGACAGGGGGCTGATCGTCAAGTTGGCACGGTATCATAACTATTTCCATCTGTCTGGCGGGACAACATTGACATATAAAATGGACCCTTCATCGACCATCGCAAACAACCAAGGAACTTGAACAAACTCTCAGAATCGAGGCTGAACTATCAACCGACGATGTGCCCTGCAAAATGGTTCGCCTCAAATTCAACCATGGCATCATTGATGTGCACTCGCATCAGGCCGCAAGATACGCCATCCCCGAACGAGAAAAAACGACTGACCAAGTCGCGCGAATGGACTGACGATGGGAGAATCTTCCATGGAATCTGACGTCTCTTAGGCACCCGTGCTACTTTCGGACCTTTTGTTCATCTGAGACGGTCGAATCATGTTTCACCGTCTGATCTCCCCCCCACGATCGTGCAATCGCAAACGCCCACGAGCAAAACAGCCCCAAGATACCGAGCGCGAGTCGTCCTCCAGCCGCCAGGACGAGTCATTCTGTTGCGGAGCTGGGCTCTCCGCAGAAACATCCGCCAGTGCTTCCGGGACGCCAACGTTTTGTCTGCCCTGTGCCGCAAGTTCGTTTAACCACCCTGGTTCATATCACGAACCACACAAATGCTCCTCGCCCGGAACGAGAGATGGGCCCCCAGCCAAACCCAACTTCGCAGGCTCCACTGCAATCGCCGGGATTTGCCAAATGTGTTTGGGTGGCATCCCCCCGCAGAACGGACTCTCCGAGCAGTTCATTTTTTGATCACGATTGGCCTCCGACTTTCCCCCACAAGCCGCACGCTAAGCAGGGATGGATGCCAGACAGCGGGTGAACAGAGCTTCAACGCTCGACCTTAACCCACGGCGTGAACCGCAACACCATCTGCGCCCCTCTCCCGCGGGTAGTCAGTATCCTCGAAAAGACGCACCTATCAAAACAATTCGATTCTCAGAGAAAAAGGGATAATTATCATTGATTGTGCCCATCAGTTTGACATGAATCTGTCAACGGCGGCGGCAACATGAGGGAGTGCAGCCTTCGCCAACTGCCGATGGCACAGACGTCCTCCCCCAAAAAGGCTGGAGAGGTAAGCTTTTCCAAGCTTTATATCAGTCCAGACACAAGCGCTAACCTTCTTGGCAGCCTCACTCTGTTAGGCATGGAAGCCAAGCCATGCGAGCTCTATAGCGAACCCACCCATCCATGCCAACCATCGTTAGAGTTGGCGAATCTGTGTCATCCGATCGGATCCGAACTCAGAATGCAGGGGAGAACGCATTATCCCGCTAGAAGGGTGGGAGGGCACATCCAAGAGGAGCGGGTAATAGAAGGGTTGCAATATACATAAGTTGTTGAGGGGGTGCGCATTCTTCTCGTATACTGTTCCGTCGCAGACGTTCGTGAGGGAATGAGGTGTGCGATTTCTCTTGCTAGACGCCACGGGAAATGGTACCACGCCATACTGGTTCGTCAACAGCACAACGATAACCGTCGCCATGACCGGCGGCGACGCTGCAGTTGCAGATGCCTTCCAGGCCGGTCGCATACCGCAGGAGATCAGCGTCGCGTACCTCGATGAGGATCGGGATACGCCGTCGATGGCGGCGTCCATCGCCATGTTCGTGTTGACCCTGGTGGTTGTCAATGGCCGCGCCTTTTCGAGATTTTTCCTGAGGAAAAGCTTCGGTGTTGATGACGCGCTTGCTGTTATCGGAATGGTGAGGACAAATTCAAGGTGGTGACGGAGTACTAGTGCTAATGCGATGGTGACCAGGCGATGTTCATTGCGTTTGTGCCTCTATGTATTATTCTCATCAACATCGGATCGGGTCGGCACTTTGAGTATATCCAGTATGTTATGACGCAGGATACCCTGGAAGAAACGGAAATTCTCGATTTTACGGCGCATCTTATCTATTCGACGGCGTTGCTTTTCTGTCGGTACTCTGGACTGGCGTTTTATTATCGTGTATGCGGGATTCACAACGGTTTCCTCCGATCGATCAAGGGCCTCGCAGGCTTTCTCTTCGTCGGGTGGCTGACGCAGATGCTACTCATTGTCTTCCACTGTCTACCGGTAACAGCCATCTGGCCGTACGAGTGGCAAACGCAGTTCAACCAGTTCAAATGCTTGCCTTGGGGCTTCGTGTACGGAATCAACTCCGCCGTCTCATTGCTGTGCGACTTTGTGTTGTTCGGAATCCCGATTGCCATGCTGAGGATGCTGGAAATGACGAGGAAGCGCAAGATCCAACTGGCCTGCATCTTGCTTCCCGGTATCCTGTAAGTCAGAAGTCTCTGCCTATGGAAGGAGCAACAACTGACGTGAGCAGTGTCGTCGCCATCTCTGTTGTCCGTCTCATATTGGTCATCAACGGCCAATGGCAACCCGACCAGTCATGGATTTACAGCCCTTTGCTAGCGATTGAGGTCGCCGAGATTGGTGCAACTCTAATAGCCCTCTCTATCCCGGGAATCAGGCCGCTAGTAGAAGAGACATACAACCGCGTGATTATTTGGACGAGCAGACATTTCCCGTGCTGTTTCCGGAGGAGAAGAGATGACATGCACGGTGGCTCGTGGGACAGCGAGGCATCAACCTGGCGAAATGACCCAACACCTAGGCAAGCGGATTTCAAAATGAAGGATATCGAGGAGGTCCTCGGGCTGGAGCTTGAGGCTATCGAAAAGTACGAATCGAAAACGAAACCAAAACGTGTAAGCACGAAGCTGGACAGGTCAAGCAAGGTGGCGGTCAAGGAAATGATGGAGAACCGCGTATGAAGTAAAGCCACGAGCGGCACCCGCAAACATGGCTCGGCACAAAGCCTTGACTTTGGAGCATAGGAATTGTGCTGGGCGATTCTTTCAGTAACAAAGATCAAGTCATTCTTGACTTCAGTACATAGCACTTTACAGGGTGTCCGCAGACGATGGCATCAAACAGCATACGAAGTAATGACAAAACATGAAGATTTCCTTTCTCACGACAATCCATTGATCCCACAGACTCATCTCGCGTTCCAAAACGCTGTCACCGCTAGCCAAACGCAACATGAGCGCAAAACGTCGCCAAGCACCGTGACCCAGCTGACAGCGCTATGCCACAAAAGCCCACGTAATCCATCGTCGAACCGCCCGTCAGCTGAACCCGCGGCTCCCACACAGGAAAGGGTCGTCCTTCCCGCCTCTGTTCAATGAGTCCAATAAAGTCCGCCACTCTTAGCCAATCTCCGACGACAAAAGACGACCAAAAAGAGTTCCGATGGCTGACGATTAGAGTGGGGACCCTCAATCGACGCCGAACAAACGAAACAATCGAAGCCAGTCCAGCCCAATCTCCTTGCTCCCCTCGCGATATGCTTCAGCCAGTCTTTCGCACAGCAAGCGCCAATGGGGTATGGGCTTGAACTCAACCTTGATGCCTCCCAACAAGCTCGAGGTTTTGTTCCTGAAAAGGTGCAGGGCAGCAGCTGGTTGGGTGGGGCTTAAGCGAGTGCTAAGAGCACGCTAAAGGGAAAGAAGCTAGCGGGGCCGCTGCAGCCGCTGGAAGTCTATTCAGCGGGTAACCCCCCCCCCCCAGCACTGGACGAATCCCGCTCGCCCGCTGGAGCCCGCTGGCCTGTTACCCAAACGGTGGTGCAGCACCAGGCAGTCCGGGCAGCACCTGCAGCACCAACCAACGTCAACCTGCAGGTCTTGGAGCCTCCCTAGGGCGGTGTCCCACTTCCCGTATCCGCTCCCGAGCCCGCTGCATCTCTCCATTGCATATCCATGGCTGACCGTTCTTCGAGCAAAAACAGAGTGCGTGCGCTGCATGCTGACTGCCATGTCGACGTGCGCATTCTTTGAACCTCATCAGTGTCTTTCTCGGGCAGATGAGCGCCTCCGTGGGACGCGTGTGAAGCGTGGCAACTCAGACCTCGACGGGCCAAAGCAGCAGCAACCATTCAGACACTAGACGACGCAACCGATGCCAGAACCATCACTCGGCAGAGTATGTGGGCAAATTTCCTAGTCTTGCCTCGAGGTACGACGTATTCCAAGAACCTTCAACAGTCGCCAAACGCCATTGCGTCCTTGGGCGACCGTCCAGTCGGAGTTTCTCCTCGGTCCAATCCATCGGATTCTCACCCCGCTGGTTACGAAAGCAACCCCTGATTTTCGTCTCCTCCTACCAACAAGAAAACGTTTCTCAAATTTCCCATACTTGACTCGAGGGGACTCCTGTTTCATGTTTCAACTCTTGCGTCGGGATCACCCTGGCTCGCCCTCCAGGAACCGTCCACTCGGCGACCCGAGACATCGTCAAAGGCCAAGCTTGCTGCTTGCGCCGCGGGCAAGCTTGAGCCAACCACAGCCAACCACAGCCCAGCCACATACTCCCTCTTCTCCCATCACCAAACCAGCAAGCCAGCCGCCCCACGTGCCATCGTCGCACCAAGAAACCCGCCAAGTCCCTCCGGAAGGAGGATCTGCAAGGGCTAAGCTTCGTAGCACATCTTGGGAGTTTCTTGGGTGTTTGCCCATCTCTCTCGGCGCCAACGCCTCCCGCCCCGCAGCGCTCGCCCCCCCTTCTGGCCGCCGCGGCGGGCAGCCGGGAGACGAGCGAATGGAGATACGTCGGGCTTCACCTGACTCTGGGTTGGCTTGGCGACGTTTCGGCGGTACGCCGTTGACCCCGAAGCAGGCTGGCCATTCTCCCACATACGAAAACATGACGGACTCGTTCCCGCAGCACCATTCCTCCGATGTCCGCCACTCGGCCGGAGACGCCGGGCGGCGGCGGCGAAGTGCCGACGCATCCCACACCGCGGGGGCTCAGCGAGGTCAAAAGACCCTTCTCGTTATCGGAACCACTTTTGAGCGGACGGGACGCCGCGGAGGTGATTTCATTGCTGTTGCCGGTTTCTCGTCGTCGTCTTTTTCACTTCGGCTGATGGGTTGACATCTGGTTAGACTGGGTTTGCGTGGTTGGTGGGAACGGTGCCGACTGGTCGGCGACCTTTGACGCGATCACGATGAAGGGCGGCGGACAAATGGGCGGACAGCGCGTCTTGGCGTGGCGTAGCATGCCGTTTTCCCTTTTTGAAGGATCAAGGTGGCCGACTGCGAAGATGAGATGGCGTCTTTGACACCTTGGATGCTTTGCGGCAGCTCTTTTTTGTCAAATCTCGAGTTTCCATCTGCATTACACGACTGAGACGGACAAACGGAGAGGCTCATTGCCGCAGACCTAGTTAAGAGGCCCGATCTGGAATCGCATGCGCAAAGGAGAAATCGCTAATAGTGACCTTTTTCAGCAACAAAGATTGGCCTGAAGGTCTAGCCACGACGTCCAACTTGTCCACCTTGTCCACCTCGTATTCCACCACGGCTTTCAGGCCTTGTTGGGGAAGCCCGCGAACAATATCAATCTCTTTCAATTTTCTTTGGAAATGGCACCGACAATTATCTGTCAAAGATCTCTTCAGAATCGCTTGTCCTCGATCACAGCAACAGACTCTGACGCCGACATATCACCCGCCCAAGAGTCAACGACGATGTCGAGACCAAGACCTTGCAATATCCAACCCTCGCCATCCAGCTGGATCCATGAAATGGGTGCGTTTCAACTTCTACATAATCAGACTCAAGCACGGGAAGGCTGACAAGGATTCAAAGCAACATTTCTTGAAAAGGTCGTCAACGAACAGCAATCGATGCTCTCGCCGAGACCCTTGGCCAGCTCGAGCGGTTGTTCATCTCGTAAAGCCTACCCGAGGTCCGTTCCAGCGGTTGAGCTGTCCAATATGCGCACTCGACCTTCGCAAGGCCCGCAAAAGAATTACACGTTATCGAGTGGCCCTGATGCCGCGTCTCAAAGAACAACGACTTCAGATCGTCAACACGAACATCATGCTTCGCGATAGTCCTCTGCTCTGGACTAGCATACGTCTTGAAGGAAAGTTAAGTGATCAAGATACCTGCCGACGTCATTTCAGATAATGGCAGAGGTCTTCGGACGTGGGTGGATGAGCGATTTCGTACTGCATCAATTATCATCATTATACTAGTCCTCATCTACCATTTATCGTACGTGACTTATCACGTCCAGTCATGCGTGTAGAAGCAACAGCGCTGCCGCCAAAGCCAATCTATCAAACCTACTAACAAATATACCAAACAATTGAAGCTATTCCCAACTGTCAATTAAACAATTCCTGACCCCTCAGATTTGATATATTGGGTTGATTTGGCTTGGTATATTATATA